AAAAGGAAGAAACACAATCAAAATTATAGATGTTATATCTTAGGTACTTCTTAATTGGCTGCCTTGAAATTTGTTACATGAAGTAACAATCCAGTAGAGAACATCCACTGAAAATATGTGATAAGTTTGGATTACCTGATTCCGAGTTACGGAAGGTGGAAAAATCGCTAAATTATCACTCCTGTTAATAACACACATGGTGTGTCCTTCAGATTGTTTTTTTGGCTGCAAGACACATTACAGTGTGTCTTGATATGGCTTTCTTGGTTAAAGATGACTCTTATCCTGCCAAAATTTATATTCTGTTCCCTAGTCCTATCAATCTCACCATTAGGAACCAAAAAAATCCCATCCCTCAACAATCTTAAACATCTCAATCAGATCCTCAATCATGTCACATGCAAACTAGCACTACAATATCAAGCATCATGAAAATCTGTCTTTTTCATTTAAATTTTCATACCTAAAAAAACAAGTTTCTAATTTTTACATTTTAGTTACTTTTATAACAATAAACAAAAACTATATGCGTAAAAACAAGAAATTTAGTACTTAGGTCTAGACACAGGCATTTAGCCATTGAGAGGCAAGACACTAAACCAACTTGTTTAGGATGATGTTAGTTGTCCAAAAAAACTATCTTTATTTTAGAATACAAACAAATGATCATACACTAAAACAGAATGTTCTGAAACTACTATAATTTAACTAGCTTTCTAAGTAAGCTACAAGAAGATTAAAGTTTCAATTAGCTGTTAGAAGCTGAACACCATGATTACAAATAACAAACTTGTGTGTGTTTTATAATCAGGCCATCTGCTGTGTACACCAAGGGGAATGGAACCCCTGATTAGGAAAACGAGGGGAAACATCTACTTACGAGCACCAAAACAAAATAACCCATACAAGAAGACTTGTAAAGAAAAAGCTGCTCTTTCTATTAGTTATAATCCAATAGCAATGTCAGAGAGAATTATTAACATTTTTGCAAAGAATTTAATACGAGAGGGGCATTTCACACGAGTTTGACATTTTTGTTTATACCTTATAAAGTAAGAAGATTAGAGATTCTAAATATAAGGTGTTTGTAATTTAATTGGACAATCACAAGTGTAGAAAGAGAACCTAAAATAGGTAATTTGAAGAGTAAATGTGTGATTTTACAAAAAACAAGCAAAACTGAGAACTTATTGGAATATTTCCTTTTGAAATTAAAACTCGGATAATATAAAATTTTAAATTATAAACACTTTTGAAGCCAAGTTTATTAACATACATGAATAATATAATTTAATTTTGAATTTAACTCTGTAAAAAAAGGGTACCGACATGCACACTTTGACCACTCATATCCAGAGGGTTAACATTACAAACAGTTTAATACACATCTAATAAATATGCACTCTTAGAAGTTAATAACATGCATACATTAAATTACAACTGTCTAGTAAATATGCATTTTTTTTTACCTGACAGGATTACTTAGAACTTGCTGTACGTAGTCTAAAAAAGGGTCGAGGCGTAGAGCACGCTCCAATCTCTGAATATGCAGAGGTTTTGCCCACTGTACTTTCTCAGTTCCTATGGGGGTCTCAGTGGTTGACCGGCTAGCCATACCTAATTGAAACCAAACTGCTGTGTTACTTAATACCAGAATATTTTAGAAATACATATAATACACTGGAATAAAATAACAGTGAAAGAATTAAGCACGTCAAGTATATTTCTGAATAAGATAAAAATTCTCAAAGTATCACTTTCCAGCATTTTAGTATCATCAAATTTAAGAATATTGGTGTCTAAGAAACTATCTAAATAGTTACATAAAAAATACAGAGGTCCCACCTCAATACTGCAACAAGTCATACTCTCCTATTTTTAAAAATGTCCACTACTCATTAAAATTGGATTTTCACCATCAAAACACTTTTATGTCAATTTAACTTATGCATACACTACATGATAATCCAATTTAATAATTAACTTTATGTGTGGTGGATAAGTAAAGGCTTTCTGAAAAACCAAGATACAGAACATTAATCAGTGATATTATACATAAAAAAGCTTCAACTTGAAATTGATGTTTTGGTTACAGATTTACTATAGTCACCACTATACTGAAATACCTTTTTTTTAATTTGGAAAACTGTTCCAGAAATTTACAAATCTGAATAACAACTTTACCTATTTCAAGGTTTCCAGTTTCTAATACTAATCAATAAAAAGGCTGTCAGAAGACTTGAAAAAGTATTCTTTAGTTCCTCTTTCAAATAAATTTAAGCAACATTCTACTGATAAAACAATATCACTCTGCACTGTTTCTAACAAATCATTATATCTACGCTTAGTGTAAAGAAAAACCAAAATCAAAACATGCCTTCAAATTCAATGTAAATGGTAATAATATCTTAAGTTCAATATTTGTAAACAGAACTAAACATTATAACTATTTTTAAGATCACAGTTAACATAAACTTAAATTTTCTGTTTCCAATCATGCTCATATTATTTTAGGATGAACAAAATGAAGGATTTTATGAAGCACACCATTAACTATAACACTGTTTATAAATATAAATATGTAGCTTCCTACACAGAACCTTACAAAACATTTTTATTAGCATTTATTGAAATGGATTTTTTTTAAAACAGCAAGTTGCAGAAGACTATTTAATTCACTGAGGTCACTCCTTATTTAACAAAACTAACCATATCAAAACATCACATTACACATAGCCATTTATATCCACATGCCTATATGAAAAGTTTAAAAAATGTTAAACTGTACACCATCACATCATTAGGTAAAACATCTGAGAAGTTCAGAGCTAAATAAAAAATAATTTTGTGCAAGAATAATTCTGCCAATAGACATTCAAAAGTTTAAACACCTATAAAATCCAAGTTTCTACTTCTAAACATTACATTCCAGAACTCAATAGTCAAATTATATAAGCTTTAAGAATTTGGGGTAAAAAGCCCAAAATCTGTAACCCTCTCTCTTGTAAGCTTTAGCTCTTACACCACTTTCTATAAGCCTATCTCTGCATCATTTCTAGATGTTTGCATCCTTCTAATATTTTTAAGAACAAGGGGCCTTCTTGGTCTATTGAGGCTATCCCATCCACTTAGGGTATAAGGAGGCAACAGTATTATTAATTTATAAAAATATATTCCTCACAAGTAGCTATATATTAATGTATAGCTAAGAATTCACAATCACATCTTACTGCTAATGCTAGATGAACAGCATGTTTATGCAGCAACATTAAAGAAAAATGACAGTGTATCACTTATTTAAGCGAATGTTTAAAGCTTATGTCTGAATAAAATTCAGTCATATGTGAAATAGTGACCTGAAAGTGAAACTTCAAACCTGAATTATAGTTATAACTACCCATTACAATTTATTCACTAAAAAATAACTTGAATTGTTATCTGGTGTTGAGCTAATCTTTGTTAATTTTGGAAATGGGACATGATTTAGCTTGGTCAAAATCACTGTATAATCTATTGTCTAACAATAATACTGAAGTTATATGTGGGTTAATAATAATATTCCCTTTCTATTAATTTTTACCTTTTTTTTTTTTACTAGCTGAAATCACAAACATAATTTTAAATAATAATATCAGAGAAAATATTATTAGGCTTAAGAAAATCAAGTTCAGTGCAACTTGTATCAATAGTAAGCCTAACTTTAGCTTTACACTTACGAATTTACGTTAGGTCAAGCTTAAATTTAGCAAAAAGCCTAATTCGAATATTCCTTCATTCAATAACCGAATAAGCCGACTACCATTTATACTGGGTAAGTACTGGTCAGTATTACTAAGTTAGTAAGTACAACAGGGGTTGGTCTTAGTTCATTTTCAAAACTTTACCTTATACGCACTATTCGATATCCAGTTTTCTTTGCCATGAGGAAACAGTTCTGTTTCTTCCCAAACGACAAAATGGCGATTATCACAAGCTTCCCTTCCTCCCCGTTCGCCACTGTAGAAAAGGCGTCTCATTACTTTGCTAACCATCATTTCACAAGAGGGCAGCTTCTCGCCATATCCAATATACTCTCGACGAATAGCTTATGTAAAAACAGCAAAGTAAAACATTGTCCATTATATTCCAGAAAATACAATAATAATTATAAAATCACATATTACTATCATGTTTAATTTTTGGTGAAAAATTGTATATTACATATATTTGTACGGTAAGTGCACGTTTGCTGATGTCGAGACTAATGATAGTATCTTAAATGTATCCTTCAACCTATTATGTAGACCCCGTAGTAGAAAAAGTTAGGCTGCTGAAATTATAGTTTCAAACATACAAATTTGACTTGATAGTGGGGAAGGCCGCTAAATATTGTTGATACATATCGTGGAAACTGTAAAGGTATTACTATTACTAGGCGGTATGATCATAATTTATTTGTTTTTATATTTAGCAATACACCTACTTAATTATGTATAAGTAGATAGATAATATTCTTATCATTATTAATGTTACTAGGCTTTTAATATTATTAACCAGTGAGCTATAATTTAATATAAAGGTTTTCTAATACATATTATACTTGTGCTGTTATAATCATACTATAACTTATAAGTATAAATATAATTTACTTTATACTTAGTGTTTAAAGAAACATTCTTTAAGTTAGAGAGTGAAAAAGAAATGATAAAACGTATTTGAAAAGAAACATCCAAACAACAACTGTTCTCAAATAGTGATATATAAGTAATCACTGTTACTACATCAGTATCTGTTTTAACTTAAGAATAAGAGGAATTATTGTTTTATCAGTTACTTTATGATTTTATAATGAAATGCAATATAAAGTTTGGAGAGAGCTTGAGTAGGTAAACTATTAGTATTACCATTAGAAATGAACAACATTTAGACAAGCTTATGTCATCATCAGGTACATAAGCTTGTCAAAACATTGTACATTTCTAATAGTAATACTAATAGTTTACCTACTTAAGCCATCTCCAAGCTTTATTTTCTAAAAAGTGGGTTCCTCATCATTAAAATTTAATATGTATTGCATACCTAATTTTGTCAGCATTTTAACTGATGGTTTAGGAGTAGTGACTTTTTTTCCACACTGTATAATATTGTTTACTATTGCAAGTAAACTTCCTACTTACCGTATTTTTTGGTGTATAAAACGT